AAGTAAATAAACGGACTCGACTGGTGCCCAAACTGGTTGCACTGGTTTTTCGACGCGCGGAACCTGGGAATGATATCAATTTAAGATGGCGGAAGAGTTGTGAAGTGGGATGTTTGGGAATTGACAAGGGCAATGGACTCCAAGGAGGTATAGTTTTTTAATTCTCTAACGCTACATAGCATATAAGGATAGTACTGTATGTTAGCCGGTTTTTTTAAGCGATGCCAAAGCACAGATCGGTGGTCATCATAGCAATCACGTTTTCTTCAATTATAACAGACAAAACCCTCCATGTTGGCGCTTGTAAGCTCAGTTCTAGTCATACTGGAATCATATGCATATCAGTATCTAAGAAAACTACGAAAGAATCCCTGAGAATGCATACTGATATGCATCTCGGTCTGAATATCCTGCCAGACGAGATGTTAATAGATGTGGAGGGTTTTCTCTCCTTTCAGTATCGAACTGGTGAACGGTTGAAAGTGATTCGGTAGAAGGACTCTGCAAAGGCAAAGACACCCCAAAAAGAACTACAAGTCAGCTGCATTGACATTTTAGGCTCTTTGATGTGCCAAATCACATTTGGAGTGTGGTTCATCATACTAATCTGAGAAAGTGAACGAATCATTAGCTGCCTAACCTGTATTGACTTTCCATACCCTCGAAGATATTTACTAAAGTACCGTTTTTTCCGTAGGTCATCATAAGAATCTGTGATCTGAACCCTCACGTGGTGTGTAGTCTTTGTGCAGGATACTTTGTTGATGCTACAACTATTACTGAATGTCTCCACACATGTATGTAAACAATGTTTATCACATTATAAAATTCTTAATACATATCCACTCATGATGGGCTGTTTGGTAAGAATAATTTAGGCAAGCATTTGTTTGAATTTTATTTTTAAGTCTAAGGGAACTGAATGTTTGAAAATCTGATTTAATGTGTTGTTTTGAACAATTTTCAAGTGGAATGTATGGAAAATGAAAGGATATAACTAACTGGTCTTCAGGAACTTAAATGCTATTGTGATTCCAACTGATCAACTAACAACTCAGTAGTTCAGTGATAGAGCATTGGAGCACAGAATTCAGAGCTGTGAGGTTTGAATCCTCTCCGTAACTAAAAAATTGTTCTCCATCTTTCTCTATTCTCCATCTTTCACTATTTGTCTACTGAGCTCAGAATTTACCATCTTTTTTATTGTATCCACTAGCAACACTGTATTGTCAAAAATTGAGTTATCTCAAGCTTACAAGTCTTAAATAATAACAGAAAATATTACCCAAAAATAATATTAAACATATGTCATGCAACAAATATCAAGAAATGTAAATGAAACCATTGTTTGACAATTTCAGTTTGCAAGAGCTGTATAGTGAAATATTTCCAAACCAGCAAGAAATGTCCCATGTGCAACTTGCAGATACATGAAACCCAACCTCTCTTCAATCTCAGGTAATTAACAGCAAATTTTATTGCAATTTAAATGGATGGCTCCCACATCCTTTTTTTCAATACTTGCCATTGATCATATATCCACGTGATATCTTCTTCCAATTTGTAAGCTGTAAAACTTAAGATAGAGTTGAACTGGACTCTTCATACCCTGTATCTGCCTTAGGTCAGTAACTCTGAACACATGATTTGTAATTTCTCTTTCCCAGCTTCTCTACTTTACCTTATATATTAGGGAGGAGAGTTAAATGTTGAATCAAGATAACCAAAATGACACCCTCTAACTGTTTAGTTGGTCTAGTTCAATTTTTCACATATAGAATATCATGTATTGATGTTATGAGGATAGGTAATCTGCTTATAAAGTTCAAGAGTTGACTGCTTTCAGTAAATGTCTTGACAACCTTACAGATTAGACAGAACAATGCAGGACATTGTGGCTAAAGTTGTTCCCGGCATTCTTGAAGGTAAAACCTGCAGCCTTATCCTTTGCATGCTTGGTTTTCTGTCACAATTAATCTTCCTTTCAATTACCATTGTATTATCATTCCATACAACTAAAAGTGAATTCATGAACGTATGTCTTTTCATCATTTGTAGGAAGCTTTCATAGCTTGTGTTCATTGGTTGAAGTATGTTCTGAAAGAGTTTTGATTGCAGAATTTGCAACTCCATTACAATAACAGAAATGCATGTCTTAAGATTATAGTTAACACTTGTTCCTGTAATTAACATCTGATTGCTGCAAATACAGAGTGGCATTTTCCTTAGTTTTGACTCTCTCTTTCTCAGCTAGAGAAGTGAATCATTCTAGGTTACTTGTTTTTTTTTCCTCTCAGGACAAAGTGAGTTGAATAAAGACACCAATATCTGCTATTGTGTGATCATATTCTTAAGTTATAACAGTTCCTAAATTTTTAGTCATCCAATCCCCCATCATTATTGTATAAGTACCATGAAAAAAACCTAACTAGTCTTCTTTGTAAACAGTGTAAAGCAAGCACCTTGGATACATAACTTGGAACTAGCAACATGTATTCTA